GGATATAATCATTTCCCGAATCGTGCCTTTGCGAAGAGGGCGAGTTTTCAGAGATTCGCCCTGGGAATAATATTACTGTATCACCTAAGTGACAGAAAATTCCGAGAACGCTAACGGATTTCTCATAATGGATACGAATGAATATTCTCTTCGACTTGTTCCAAATATGTACGTAAGAAATGTCTACACAATTTTAATAATTTCTACAATTTCAGTATACTTAATACTTGCTAAAACAACGTTTCTCAGGTAAATCTCTCTCCTATCATTCACGATCCGACACTGTCGCCGGTAATATTCTTCGTAGGAAATCTCTTGTCGCGAGGAACGTGTATTCGGATCGGCTGGCTCGCGGGACATAATTTCACGACGCTCGGTATTTACCGTCGTCGACGGATGTTGAAATATTCATGAAACGAACATCGTCACTCTGCGCCATCGCCCTCGCTCGCTCCTGGTAGCAGTCTCCCTCTCGATGGTCCCTATTGTCTACCCTGTGTTACGCGCGCACATCTTCTCTTACCTCTTCATCATCTACGTCATCACGCACGCCTGGACTAACCCGGAAAAGTACTCGCAAGATCGCGAATGATCGTTCTTTCTAGATCATTATGCTTGCTCATCAACCCTCTTTTTTAAAAGAGGTTTTACCACACACGCACACGTACGTACACACGTAAGAAGAAGCCAAGCTCACGCGACCTACATTGTCCCCCTGTAAAAGAGATCGGCGGCACAATTATCGCACGGCTTTCTTTGTTGATTGTTTGAGTTTCCTTCGCGAGAAAATAGGAAAGAATAGGGCGAAGCATCATACTCGTTTTTTTTTTTTCGACACCGTCCTCGCTGCACTCACTCTCGTATTTACAAAAAAATCACATGTGTTGCGTTGCACTCGAATGTGGAATAATCCCAACCCGAGAAACACACCAAGTTCGAGAGAAGATCAAAACGACTTTATTTTGACGTCATGAAAGTAAAAACGATGATTTTTTTTTTGTTATGAAATTTGAGTGTTTATTGACGTTAAGAATAGAAATAAAGTCACTTTGATTTTCACATTTCTTGTTGATTTTCGTGTGTTCCTTAGGAAGCAGAACATGTCATGATAATTACATTAAAATAACATTAAAATCTCCCCCATAGTAAGGTTTTTTTCTTGATTTTTCAGGATCTTATCTTGTATCTGATTCGACTCACTCTATTTTGTCCATTTTTCTCTAATTAATATTTAAAAAAGTAAACAATAATATAAAACTTCTTCCTCTGTAATAATAGAGAAAAAAATACGCAGATACGCGAAGAAAACTTTTTTTAAGCAAGGAATACACAAAAGTCAACAAAAAATCAAAAAATGACTTTATTTTGATTATTAAGGTCAATAAACAGCTAAATTTTCTCATAAAAAAATCTTTATTTTGACTCTGTCGTGATGTCAAAATAAAATCGTTTTGACTTTCTCTTGACTTGGTGTATTCCTTGGACAAAATAATATACATAATTTTTTATTGTAATGATTTAGTGTTTAATAAATCTTACAATTTCCCCTTCAAGCAATAAAATACAATAAAATTCATTAACTGACTTTATTAAACAATTGCAGTAAAACAAATGTACTTTGACTGACAAAGCTTCAAAATCACATTTGAGCCTGATCTCACCGTTAGAAAGTTAATAATTATTTTGGAATCATTTCTATGTCATCATAACTTTTTGTTCTGATTGAGATGTGTCGGTGTCTGCCTTAAACGACCAAATTCGGCGGGAATCTCGCTCGCATGTCACCTATGTAGGAAACTCTCTATCTTAAGAATTAAGTGTCTCGTTTATCTATCGTAAATCTAGACTGCAACACCGTGTGTTTCTCTCTCTAGCCGCGTTCTCTCGTGTCTTTGAACGCTTATCGAAAGGCGAATCTACAGACGTCACGTGCATGTACATCTTCGCAAATTCGCTTGTCGACCGAGGAGGAAAGCATTTTTGTACATGTCGAATGAAAAACTCGCGGCGTCTTATATAATACTACAATTAGCGCTCTTGTACAAATTTGTTTTTAATGTAACGGTACTAGTAAAGATAATAGCGAATGCAATCACACCTATACACAAGTATACACACGTAGAAAGCGTTGCACCGCTCCCTACTTAGGCCAACGATATTTGTTTATGTCGTTTATCGACAAGCGCTATTAATTTATAAAATGCTATTTCGGATCTTAATAAATGGCTTATTTCGATTAAAATACCTAGTGCACTTTCACGTTTGTCACTCACTTCGCTATATTTTATACAAAAGCTCCATGACGAGGCTGATGCAACGTTTTCCCTGGTGTGTATAACATGAAATGCGTGCGACCTGTTTCAATCCTCCGATAATCATGTAACGCGGTAATATGAAATAGATCGTGTATCATATTAAACGAACTCTACATTATTTAAATAGCCAGTAAACTGAACATTCGTGCGCCCTGTGAATTTAATCCTGCGAAAGATTAAATCAGTGTAATTATTCTTGACTTGCGAATTTCATTTTATCAATCACTTTACGATATTTGCTATTTAAAACGAATAAGCAAATAATGTATGACGAATTAACGACAGTGGAACAATAATTAAGAAATTCTACAGTCGCGCATAAGTAAAATAAATCTTACTTAAATAATTGCTAAGTCATATTGATGGATCGAGGGAGTTTTTGTGCGCACCAAACAAATATTTTTAAGAGAAATTCAATTTCTGGTTCTATGATTTCTTGAATTGAGATTCGTTCGGTTGTCGAGCAGCGCCTAATTAGTGCGTCCACTCGCTCGACGATTAAACGGTTTATGTGAGGCGGTAATTAACGTTACCATCATTAGTGTGTTAGTCTCGTTAACCTCTGTTCGTTATGCTCCAGTTAAAAACGGCCCGTACAGATGTCCAATAACAGTAGCAAAATGGAATTTCGCGCAATAAAAATAACAATTAATGAATAAAGAATAATTAAATCGAAGTTTGGCGAAAGTAATCGAGATAACCAAGAATGATCAATAAAATGTATCGATAGCTTCACTCGAGGTTGCTATTAATTTAAATTAGCACGAAGAGTCACCGTCCGAAGTTACTTTCTATTAACGCTGACGGAGAATTGATTAAAGCACTTCCGTTTGCGAAACTTTTACGTGCTGTTGCCGGCGATTTTTGCACATATTCAATCCTTGGCCCGCGTGCCCGACGGAGGACGGAGATAATTCGTCAGATGATGCATACCGCGACGAATAAATCAACCATAGCGGAGTCAGGGATCGCTAATTTGTTCGGGACACGCGATGACGCGTGTCCGAGTCGTCGGGGAATCGACTTTTTCTACTTTGTTGTTGGACGGCTTCCCTCTGGCTTTTTTTCCTTCACCCCCGTTAACATTTCTGTCATATCTCCGACATCCAATAAATTTCTATATACGTTTACTCTGTTCCTCTGTTTCAGGAACAAAGAACCAATAATCGGAAAATTACATATAGCTTGTGAAATATTCATAAGCGATCCGATATGGCGTTTATGATTATCGTTAACGTTATAATGAAGTAACTTTTTTAAATCGAAAAAGTTAGAAAGCAAATCGTTGCATTCGGCAATTTAAAAGGAACGAGGATATCTCTCTTTCTCTCTCTTTTTCTGTCGTATTTTTGACAATATCAAAATGTTGCAAACAGGAAAGTGAGATATAGCTTGATATGCAACGTACGTTCTTTTTGTGAAACATCATATTGATTAAAAGTGTAAAATATGGAAATATAAAATCTGTTTCTAATTAGGATTTATTTACGAGAGACCGGGAACTCATAATTTACGCAAATTAATGCGGCTGGAATGAGAGTGGCAGTGAACATTTCTGCGTGTTCTTTTCGCCGAATGTTATACCCGCACGTTTCCCGAAATTGCTTGGGTATTCGCCATTACGTCGCGGAGAATAGATTCGTGGAGGGAATTGCGATAATTTGTGTGATTTGTGTGATGATCGCGGAAGCAAAACGTCAAGAGAGACAAATATAAATACGTAAGAATATCGTCGTAATTTGTTCGGGACACGCGAAAACGCGTGCGTGACCGGCGGGAGTTCGCGGAGTTCTATTTTTCTCGTCTGCTACATCTGTAGGTTTCCTTAATTTCACATTTCGCCGTGTCCATGCGTCGCAATGTACTACCTCGGTTCGATTTTCAAGGGAAACATTCGCTTTCGAAAATACTTCGTGTTCTTCCACGTAATTGTATCGTAGTTTCTTCGTACTCGTAAGAAATTCTTTGAAGGGGATGTTAACGAAGAAGGGTTAATTTCCTGAACGACGTAAAATATACGCGCTTATGTCACACGTAACAAGATGCTGGAATGTAAATAAAGAAAGATGGATGAAATTAAAATTTCTATTTTTGAAATGATTCGTTCATTCACGACATGATTCGTTGTGTCAGGGCAATGATATCATATAATTTGTTTATAGACAAATCTTTATAAAGTTACATTTGAAAATGTAAAATTAGTGAAATATAAATCGTGAAAATAAGACAAAGAATAACCAAGAAAGAATATCAAGTTTTGCCGCCGTAAGATTTTTCAATAATACTTTCGAATAAGCGCATTGATCCAATAATCTTTTAAAACGCAACACACACAAGCCTTGACTTACAAGGAAGGTCGGAATTATCCTTCGCCAATTTTAACAGGTTTTACATACGTTGTGAAGCATTAAAAAATATTAGATACATATTCTATTATCTGTTTGTCTCAAGATTCAACCCCGCAAAAACAATTTTTTTTTTCATGAACGAATATCTTTGAAATTGTAAGATGTACGAAAAAATGTCTTATATAAAAGTTTTTTTTTTATATTTTATATTTTCTTAACGATGTGTTCATATTTTTCTAAAATATCATATTTTTCAATTCACCCCGATCCTAAAAGATTGTTTCGATGCTTAACTTCGAAATAAAAACAGGTAGAGAAAATATATTTGTTTAATATTTTTTAAAGCTCTACAACATATTTAAAATCCATCGAAATCGGTGAGGAGCAGACAGTTCCGACGATTTCCTTGTTAATTTTTTTCTCAACCCACAATAGAAATTGCTCTCGCTACATCGCTCATTTGTCGCAGCATTTCGAATCGAAATTACATAGCTCTACCTCTCGTAAGATTATTTGTAAAAAAATTCATAGCCGTATCACCACCTTCAACGGACGCATTTTATCATTCGATCGCGGCCGCAGGCACTCAACATGTTCTCAGTATCGTCACTCCACTCTTGTTCTCCAACACGACACCGTTAAGTGACGACGAGCCGTGCCATCGGACGCACCTGATCGTGATGTCTCGACGTCTTAAAGTGGTTTCGAGACCGTCTGAATAATTCGTGTCGAGATCGTTGTTCGGCCAGCTGCCTCCGCGTTGGCACGTGGTGGTCTTCTTGTTCAGACGATTCCTTATCGCTGCCACCGTTGTCACTGATGACAACGCTGTCATCGTCGCCGTCAACATCGCTATCGGTCCCCGGAGAATAATGGGCCGCAACGGCTAGGTCGCTAAACTCTGCAACATACAAAAACGATTAGAATGCAGTATTTTTCTTGAAAACATCTGGAGGAGATGCAAACTAGATTCACTCGACTGCATTGCGAATTAAACGACAACAAATTCAATGGATAATCCGCTAAAAAAGAGAAAATGAACGTTAACGAGAAGAGATTGTCATTAGCGCCTTTTGGAGGCGCAATACTATTTTCGGCATTTTAATATTCTCTCTCCTCTTCCACTGAGCCATTAGTCCATTTTTCTGCCTGATGTGACTAACCACCTATTCAAATGTTATGCACGAAGTGCTGATGTTGAATTGTCACGTGGCTATATTAGAGTGGTGCTCTTCCTTTTTTCGCAATAAAAGATTTAAACGTTTATGTTCACGAAATAATTATAAACGTTTATCGCGTATCCACATAATATCGAATCTTGCCAATCCATAAGAATTCATATTACATTTTTTAGAGACTATAAATTTATCACAAAGTATTATAGTTAGAGAGAAATATATTCTTGGGAAAATGTGGACGATTTAATATGTCGATGGATCGAAATTGTATATAAATGGTAGATTTTCTATACTTTCTTGTTTTCTCTCTGTGATACAGTGAATTAATTGAGTTTTTCTATTCTTCCATTTTCTACTATTTTTTAAGCAACGTATATTTTTGACAAAATTTGATTTGCAATTCTGTCTGGCGTCGATGGAAAAAAAGATTAAACCAACGAGATCACCGCTAACAAGAGATTCAAGATTAATCAAACCGTCGAAACCGATGTTTGCAGAGACCTCTCGTCATTTATTTTTCTAACACGATAGTATTTATCTCTACGTGGAAGGATTCAGGCTTGTTTAATTGAATTTGATAGAAATGAAAACAGTTTTCGATAACGATAACTATTGTACATGAAGTGTGCTAGAACGTGGCTATGATACGTTCAGCTCCCGATCGAGAAGTATACGTAAATGACAGCTATAAAAAAAATAATATATCTCGTAATGTTACATTCAAACATTTAGATCTTTTTAGATATTTTCAAATATTTCTATTCGATTGCATTTGCTTATTAATTACACTGAATAATATAACACTGAATAACATAAATAATTTCTAAATCTAATAAACGGTTTTAGACATAAAAAAAAAACGAGAATACACATTAAAAAAAATTCTGGTTGAAAATGAACGAACCAGAAGATTTTGATCACATCAATCAAAATTCTAGTTATCAATTAGAATTTTAATAAATTCCATCACAAAAATTCTGATTTGTCCATTTTCAATCAAAAGTAATGCAATGAAACTCGTTTCTCATTGTAACAATTTTAATTATAGCAAACTCATAATATATTAACAACATATTAATAATATTTTCCTCTTTCTCTTTCGCTAAATCTTTCAATCAGTTATTGCTACAAAAATAAAAATTTCAATGGAATCCATCATCTACCGCTATAAAGAGGAGATCAAGCAGCGAGCTATAAAAATGAGACTTAACCCCCAAAGGATGGCGGCGCCAGACGATTTTCCAATAACAATACGACCGTGGAATGGCGCTATCTTTAATGACACCATTATATTATCTCTCGCACAAGTCCGTGTATAAAGATCGCCATTGCCGATCGCAATTTGCGTGATCACCGATATTGCGCCCGGGCCGTTTCGCATCGTTGGATATTAACGTTGCAAATCGCCCCTTCCTCCGCCTATCGTTTACTTCCAACCCTATCTTCCTTTCCACTCTACATAGAACTCAGCTCACTCCCCTTCCCCTCCCCCCCTCTCTCTTTCTATCTGTTCTCATCTCTCTCCCTCTTCTCAGGGTTCTCAGTTAACCGAAGCTATAGCTGTTCGAAGTTCTATTGGGGACTGTACGCAATCAGCTGCTAATTGGGGAATGATTGGAGGCGCCTCCGCTGATAGTATCGCACCCCTAACTACCCTTGCTGTACCGTTATATAACCACCAGTCAGTATAAATGCCCCCATAAATGCCAAAGCAGGCACATATGCAGCTCCAATCGTTTTGCTGCTGTACGAAATAAACAACGATCATTTCATTTATTTACTGTCATTTTATGCTCGATATTACAACTAAAAGTCTTGACTAGAAAATTAGCAAATAATGTTTAAAAAATGTCGCCACAAATAATTCTAAATATTTTGGTATAAAAAAGATTTTAAAATTTCTATAATTCAGATAATAAATTTACTAATAACTTTCTCTTACTGTTACATATGTGAAAACTATATGTGTGTGTGTGTATAGTAATAGGTGTAATTTAAACATGAAACCTCGTTTTTTTTTTTGGCTTCAGAAAGTTGATTTCTGAATGGAGTAGGCGAAAGCGTATGAATAAACGTGTTAACGTTATTGGTAAATTGTTTATGATGTCTATCGGATCGCGCTGTTTTATCTATTTATGAGATTTCTCTCTCATGCTAGAGTTATGATGCTCTTATTTCAGCAGTTCAGCACGAAATGCGGGTCAGCCGACGGTCGTGAGTTTTTGCGTTGTGCCGCATGGGAGAAAAGTCCAATTATACGTTTCCGCATACAAGCCGGTTATTAAAGGAATACGTACGTTTAAAACGTCTAAAAAGAGAATTATATCATCGACACGAGAAACCAGGATGCAAATAAATCTAGTAACATGATTTTATTACTTTATAGCATAACGTAGCAATTTGAAACCTGGATCAAAGAACGCAAAAATGTTATTTTTCTTATGTTTTTATATAAATTAAAAGAGAATCGTGATTATTATTGTTTAAAAATGTTTAAGTTAATTATGATTTGTCCTTTCGGCTTTAAATTCTCAAGTATCGGTACTATTTGCGAGTAATTGGTATTAATATTTCGATAGCAAAAGTTTCCTCAAAAAGATAATATGCGCCCAACTCTGTGATGATTGATCGTGATTTTATTCGTAATAACTTCGCATTATTTCGCAACTTGTGTAGAACCTTCCAACGAATTTTCTCTTATCACGAAGGAACAAGAATGGGAAAAACGGCGACATCAACCTTCATTATACGTATTTGAACTTCGACTGGCTGATACCAGAAACACGTGGAGGGTTAATAGTTGATTAGTCTCACTTTCTGGAAACGAGGAGTTCGTAAATCTAATTTCAGCATTTTCGCAAATACGATCCACATCTGCGAACGAGCATCAACGATTACTATGGAGTCGACGCAGAAATTATTCAACCCTTGACGAAGTCGCTTTGTTCGCTTTAATCTAACGCTTAAAGCCAGAATATTAAATTAATAGTTTGTTTCAAGTATATGTCTCTCCAACAGGCATAATACTTATTTCAAAATATGTTTACGACCACTACTTTATAATGACTATTTGTGTATAACAACTACTAATATATCACACAGATACTAATAGGTAGAGAGTGTAATTATCACAATCAATAAAATCTATTAAAACTATTATTATGCGTGTTTGATTGATTATAAATATTGATATTTTTGTTAACTTTCAGTTAGCGCATTTTTAAGTGCAGAAAATAATTGTACATGTACATAGTAATTGTAAAAATATACACGATATAATTTTAGTCAATAACTACGGTATAACTTTGTCTAACACAATAACGTATACGGAAAAGGTTTTCTTCTTGGCTATAAAGGTAGAAAAAAGAACTAGAGAAATAGAGTGAAAAAAAGTATTCGTGAGTTCAGTAATCCTTGCAATTTCTTTTTCTAGCACAATTCCCTAACAAAACAGGTTATAGCTGGGAGAGTATGCAATAGCGAAGTTATTCCTTCTTTCAGCACTTTCGTTTTTTTGAGTTTACTCGCGTTATGAATAGATACATTTTTCTCTCGAAATAATTCGCACTTTTCAGAAATTTTGCAACTCGCCGATGAAACTTCTGCATCCGAACGGTGACTTCGGTGGCTTGGTCCTGAAAAAACGATGAACTTCTTTATAATGAAAGATCGAAGAACGTTCCGGATTTTTAAATGAGCGTAACTTTGGTGGGTGCAACTGCGACATTAAAATGCAACAGTTACTTCAGCAAATTGCAGTTTCCCAAACTCTGATATCTGTTTTTTCTATATTTTCCAATTAAAAAATGATGTAATTATAAATCTATCGAGATACATTTAAAAAAAACACTGGTTTTTGTGGATTTAGTATTATAAAACAATATATAGTTAACATTGTCACATATAAATGAATTTCAATTACCTTTTTTATTTATCTACATTATTCAGCATTTCTTTAAATCGTGATACGAAATAGAATGAAAAAAATGGTTTACATAAAAATTCAAATTGTTTTCGTTTACATTAATTGGTAATTGCATAGTTTAAGGTTTATACGAGAGTTTATATTAATACCTACATTTGAATTATTATGATATTTAGAGATGAAAATATTATAGATATTTATAATACTTTTGCAAATGATATATTTAATGTTCAGAAGAGTAAAAATTCTCGATATAGGAAACTGTACATGGAGCACGTCGTGATCGATCGATCATAAGTTATTCAACTTTGCCAAGTCGAAACTGGATACGAAAGTTCACGGAAAAGGTACCTTCAACGAGGAATGTCATCTGCATTTTCTGTGGTTGTAGAGAATGTCGAATACCTAGTTCAAATTTGTTCGAATTCGTTAAAGGAAGTTGAAAGTTCCGGCGGTGACTTAGTAAATTGCAATACCTTCCGGTTTCGCTTACTTCGCAAAATAAGTATCTCTCGCAAGTTTTGCGTGATCCTTCATAACGTTACGCCAGAAGAACTCAACGGAATCAACAGATTCAACTTTTATCAAAATAAGTTTGATTAGTACAGATATAGAAGAAGTCCGAACAAAAAGCGAACTCTCTGGGCAAAGTGAATATTTTTTATTTTCGCTTATCTATCTGAGATAATGCTATGAGTCTCTAACTGTTGAAGAAATGACCGATCGGCGAGGCCGTATACGCCGATAGCATAATTTTACAATTTTAAACGACTTAGGGAATTAATATGACTATTTGCT